TGTTGGTAGACGATTAATGAGGTATACGAGCATGGTGACGAGCAAATGTCCAAAGATTAGATGACAGAGAGGCTTGATAAAGTAATGTACGTGTCTGTTTCGATTATGTGGCGGTGGCGTCTTTCAGCGAAGAGCAACTCGTTGTGGAGTATATGGAGGAGTAATGAGGTGTTCTATGCCATTGGAAATGAGGTATGAACGGAGACTTTAAACTCACCACCACCATCGGTGTAGAAGGACAATATTTTGGAATTAAAATGTCTTTCCATGAGAGGTTGAAAAATTTTAAAAATTGTTTTGACGTCACTTTTGTTATAAAGAGTGTAAAGCCAAGTATATTTTGTGTATTGATCAACAAATATGCAATAGTATAATTTTTTATCAAGATAAATGACAGGGGATGGTCCCCATAAATCGCCGAAAATGGTTTGAAGAGGTTTGGAACTAGACAAAGTAAGATGAGCAAATGGTTGTCGATGAGATTTATTGGATAAACAAGAATTACAAAATGTAAAATTGTCCGGTACCGAAAGGGGAACAGGAAAATTGTGTAAAATATTTTTTAAAACTTGAGCATGAGGATGGCCAAGCCTACGGTGCTAGGTTTCAATCGAGTTATTTGTGGAGACCATTTGAGCTTGAGGAGAAGGTGATGAACGGATTGCTGGCCACTCGTACGGCCCATTTCTATTCTCGCAGAGTGCACCGGGGGTGTCCGTGTTGTGAGGTCATTGATGAGAAAATCGGACGAAAAAAATTCCACGAAGTTAGATTATCTTTACAAAAATTGGAAACCGAAATTAAATTGCGTTTGATTTTAGGAGCACACGAAGTATTAGACAAATGAAAAGCCGAGTTTGATGCATATAATGAAGTTGAACCATTGTGAGTAATTGGAATTCCGTTACCATCTCCCATGGTCACTTCCTCCATGCCGTGGTATGCGGGCATATCATGTGGCTCAATGGTAATGTGATGTGTGGCACCCGTGTCTAGAATCCACGGGTTTGCAAATGACTCGAAGTCCAAGTAACAAAGTTTGCTTTGGCCTCAAGATGATTATGAGATTTGGAACGCATATTGATGCAATATGACCAGTGGCAATTACATAATTGGCATTGAACACCGTTGTTGTAGGTGTTATTATTCGTCGCCATTATGATTGTTGATTGTACTCGTTGTTGGGACGCCATGCTTGGAGAGTTGTTGTTGTTATAGCGTCGAGTATTACGATTGTTGTTGGTTCTGTTTGCTACAGCAGCCTATTATTGGAGATGAAAGATGTCGTTCTTGATGTTTAAGAAAAATTTCATGATCAAGAAGCTTTTCGTAGAGTTCGGGATATTCAATCAAAATGCTATGGTTGTGAATTGCTGCAGATACTTCACAAAAATCAAGACCAAGTCCATTGAGAATTTTGATTGTGAGTTCGACTTCAGTAATAGGAGAACCTGCAGTAGCAAGTTCATCGACAATGGTGCGGATTTGATGAAGATATTCGAAGTACTCTTGTCATCCTTGGTGATGCGACCGAGTTGATCTCACAAGTCGTAAATTGGTGTGTGACTTTTGTTGGCATAAGTGGTATGAAGAAGAGCCCATGCATTCTCAACATTAGATGCACTCGCTACAGATGGATGCAATGGTGCTCGTCAACGGAGGCCATCATTGCTTGATGAATGAGGCGATCTTGACGAACCCGGAGGCGATATGCTCGGGTTGATTTCGGTAGTGTTGGTGCGAATGATTGTCTTTTCGGGGCAAGGTGTAGAACCATCAAGATGCCCGACCAATTCATGACCTTCGAGAAGTAATGTTAATTGAGTCTTCCGGGTAGAGAAATTGGAACTACCTTGCAATTTGATAGGCAATTGTGATGACGGGTTAAACTCGCACAATATAATTGTTGGTATTTGGATTATCGGCATTGATAAGAGTAGGCCGGAAGTGGAAGCCATTGAAGGTGATGGTGGTCGTTCATGCATTAGGATAAAGGGAAGGATCGGACTCGTAAGAGCCGTATCTTCTACGATACCATAAAGAGTTTAGAAAGCCGACGTATATTATTGAATGATGATCCAACCGTTAAATACAATAATGATCCTAAAGGGACTCCTTAACTATAGGAGCAATATTAACAAACTCGTAATAGCCCTTAATTATAGCAACAACCAAAGAATAAATCAAACAAAGGAACAAGTCGGATGAAGTGCGTAACTCTACTAAAAGATAGCACACGTGCTCGCTAATAATCGGGAACCCTAAAAGATAAATGAACAGACAAACACAAAACAAACCCCAAAATAGCATTCCCATCCATCTCTCGTGTTGCCAAAAAAAAAAAAAATTATATATATATTATTTTAAAAAATATACCATACACGTAACGTGCAAAACAGTTCAACAAAAGGAAAAGGCTAACCTGAGAAATTGAAGTAGGAGCACAATAACTAAATCGAGACCACCTAAACACGAAAGAGCAACAAAAACACAAAGATCAAATTAAACAAAAAAAAAAAAAAAAAAGGAAAGAAAAGACCAGAAGTAGTAAAAGTTCTTTTTTTGTTCCCTGTTTCCAGCTTCTAAAGACCATACCAAGCACAACTTCAACAAAAATCTGAATTAGGATATTTTTTAAAACAATTCTGATAAACCATGAAAGGGCTGCATTAATAGCTCCAAGAGGCAAATAAGATCACTTGAAGAGAAAGTGCTACAAAAGATTTGTTAAAGGAAGCCAAAGAAAGCATGAAACATGACCAAGCACACGCATATTAACTGCATGCTTAGTAAAAACCACAGAGCCAGGCTTAAAACAAGAACAAGGAAAAGTTCCTGTACTTGGAACAAAAAAAGTATAGTTTTGCAACAACTGAAGAATCAAATGGACCAAAACACAAAACTTACTTAATTATAGAGTGAGATCGGTGTTTGGTTCACCTCTAATTAAATAATTTAATCGAAGTAGATGCTGGTTCCGTCAAAATATTGATATTTATCTTTGCACGATCCAAAATCTGGTGCTAGACAAAACTCATCACCAATTCAATTTATTTGTTGTATAACTTAAATCCATATTAAATTAACAAAAAAATATATCATGAATTAGTACATAATTAATTAAATTGTTTAATTATTTTTATAGACAAATCAAGCAGATACGGTCTTCTAAAAATAATAATGATTAGGAGGATTATGCATTCGGTTTAAAATTTAAAGGACTGATCTATATCTATGGGTTAGTTAGACCTTAAGAAATAAGGACTTAACCCACAAATACATGTATATAGAAAGGAATAAGGCCACTATCGATTGAAGCCTAACCCACCTAGACTCGGCCTAGTAAACGAACAAACACGTTGTTCCAGATTTCACCAAGCCCACATTGAATTAAAATGGTGGGAAGAAATAAGGACTTAGCCCACATTGGATTAAGGGGTTAAGTGTTTGATTAGTTTTGGCCTGTTTGGATGTTGGGTTTTTAAATTCTGTACTCTTTTGTGAAATATCTGTCTAGTTGCGGTGGGTATTGTATAGGGCCATGCCCAATTTTAATGAATCCATTGAACTGTTTTAACAAAAACATAAAAAAGTCTATGTTCCTAAAAATGTAACTATGAACTCATTTGAAATGGCAAAGGACCAATTATACATGGTCCATCAAATCAATTTCGCATCCAATCGATCTATTAAAGAAATATATATGCGTTAAAAATTATCATTTAAACACATATTTCAAAAAAGAATCTTCTATACTCATTAGTCACACATTTAATATCTATTTATGTCCATTGAAAAATAATTGATTAAGAATTTTCATTTTAGTACTTATAATTTTTTAGAAAAATTACTTTGGTCCTTAACATTGTATTATTTTACAAAAAATCCTCAAGTCGGAAGTTTTTGGATCCTCAAAGCTTTCAAAAAAAAAAATGATAATAAATAAATAAATATTTTAGTTTTTATATTATCTCAAATTTCTTTTTTAAAGATAACAATAGATATTATTTTTTATATTATCTCAATTTTCTTTTTAAAAAATAACAATAGATTTTAGCAAGATATAAATTGAATACTCATATTTAAAAACTATATTAGTAAGTATATATATATTTTTTTACTCATACTTATCTTAATCTTTATTAAATATTTTTAATATATATTTATTGGACTGGATAGACTGGATAATCATTTTATGCTTTGTTCATTGTTATTTCTACAAAACTAACGTATTGGTTTTCGGTTTTGATTTACTATTATTAAATCAAGTGAGAAAACTATTAGATGCACAAAATTTATTAAATAATTGTAGAATGTGGTGACCTAGAAGCTTTACTTTTTTGGAGTAAATTCTGCTTATGGAGCTCGTTCTCTTTAAAGACAGGAATTGGATCTTTAAAATTTTGGATTTATATACGACAAAGTTAGTTTCTCCTACTGGAAATTTCCGTTAAAGATAGTGTTAGTAGCCTAAAATGGAGATGTGGCACAAGTTGATTGGCTGAATTTTGTTTAAAGTTTGACCACTAACCATTGACCGTTTTCTTTAACGGAACTTGATTACAAAATTGGATGGAGGTTCTAAAATTCAAACATCAAGGACCCAATTGTATTGTTTTGAAGCACAAGCCTATCTAACGACAAAAAACTGCAAAAAACTGGGTGGAACAATGTACTAGAGCATACTTGCAGCTGCTTCTTACACCTGTCTTGTTTCTTTGAGATTGGACGTACTCTTTAAACATGTGAATCACCATTTTTTCCAAACCTTTGTCTAATCTTCTCTATGTATATATGAATAGACTAATTTTGGCCGCAAAAACGAGTAGAGTCTTTTTCAAAATATTCTTTCGCTGCTTCATGTTGTTCAATCTTAACGCATTAAAGCGTTTCATATATAGGTTGTCCATTTAAAAAATTAGAGTTTACACATGTTCAACTCTAATTTTATAGGTTGCTCCATTTTGTCCATCTTCTTCCTTGGTCAGAAAGATTTTGTCTCAGACTACAAGACCCTTCTTACGCACGTACAACAACCATTCTCCTATAATGACTGGTTTCCGATGACGACCACGAGCCCGAACAGAAAGCTTAAAATTCCAAACTTTTCCAGTAGCATTTTGGCCTGAGGGTATCGGAATAGCTTCAAGGTTTTGGTTAGGATATGCCAATCGGCGTTTTATATCTGCAGCAAAAAACAAGTCTTGTCTACGTACCAGCTTTACGTTGTTCAATCTTAACGCATGAAAGCGTTTCCAATTTCTTCCAACATAAGTATTTAAAAAATAGCATAAAAGTTAAAAGAGATAATTGGATGTTATTCCCATTGTGTGCCTAAGATCCATGTAAGTCAATGTGAAAACAAATGTTACTATTATCTTTCAATATTAAAAAGCTATTTTAATCCAAAAAGTTAAATTGCCAGGTTCATTGGCCACTTTGCGTCTCTCCACTAAAAAAAATAAAAATAAAAGACTTAACTAGGAAGTTAAATAGGCGATTAGGTGAAGAACGACCATCACTATCATAGTCTCAACACTCAACAGATACAAAAAGATTTAAGGAAACAACAAAAGAGCAAGTAAGAGAGGGAGGAGTATAAAGAGTAAAGGGTCTCGAATTCTATAATCAATCTACACATAATTTAATTACAGGTATTTATTTTTATTTTTCAATATTTGAGAACAAAAAATTATTTTATTTTCTTCTTTCCTTCCCTGATTTTTAATTTATTATAAATCTCTAATAGAGTAATAATTATCCACTGATATTTTATAATGATTCCATACACATTTATCTAGTAAATGTATGAGATATTCATGATAAACTGATAGTAATTTAATTTTTTTTAATAAGACAAAGGACTTATTATTTTGACACTTTTTTGTTCTAAATCTCTAATAGAGTAATAATTATCCACTGATATTTTATAATGATTTCGTACACATTTATCTAGTCTATGTATGATATGTTTATGATAAATCGATAGTAATTTAAATTTTTTAATAAGACAAAGGATCTGTTATTTTGTCAGTTTATGGATAAGTTTGTGATTAGAAGAAAATTTTCAATTGAGCATCATCGATCACAGAAAATGCAAAGCATCAAGGTAGTGAATAGAATAAGTTTACGGAATCTAGCTCAAGGCAAAGCATCAATGTGGTAGTTATGGTTAGAAAGAGAATACGAAATCAAGACTTCTTTCTGCATCCCTTTGTGTCGAAGACTAGCTGATTGTCCATAATTATATAATATATATAATATTTTTTAGATTTTATTATCTTGATTTCATCAATATAAATCTTAGACTCAGTCATTTCTAAATTTAAATATTTAACTAAAATCTGAACTTTTGTGTTTGATTTAAGTATTAAAATAATTTTTGAAATTGAAGTGTTTTTGAAAAATAATTGTTTTGGTGGTCTTTAAAGTAATTTGGTGAAATTCCTAATGGTAAATAATGACAGAAGGGATTTTAATCAAAACATTCAATACACTAAAATTAAAATAATAAAAAGTACAGAGAGTGTAAATTAAAATAATCAATAGTTCAGAGATAATCAATAGTTCAGAGATCCTTTGTACATTTTAGCCACGTGGAACACGATCACCCACAAAAATAACCATGATCCTGATAAAAACAACATTGTAGGCTCCGTCTCCAAGCATGTTGGTGGCCTTCCCTTCACCTACGACCCAGAAACTGCCTTCTGAGCCTAGGGTTTTTTTCATCCCTTTTCCTTGCGGCAGCCCGAAACATTAAGCCACGATAAGTTCTAGACTTTAAGTATGGCCACCCTCACATCCCTCTCTTTGCTTGTGAAGAATATTCTGATCATGGACCAGGATTTGTCTCTCCCTCTCCATGGCTTAATAATTTGGCCACCCGTGGCTGACTGGAAGAAAAGAATACTGCAGCTCCGACAAGAAGAAGCGGATCTGGCTAGAAGAGTAATTTGGAATGTGCACGCGCGAGTCACGTGGATAGCATCCGGGGATCCATGTTAGGTATCTGATTATTACCATTTTATATATATGTATAACAAAGTTAAACAGTTTATTTTGGAAGAAATGGACTGCGTTTAGAATTGGAATTATTGCCCTATTTTTGTTCTGTAATTGAAATTTTACAGACTGAGTATTATAAAATTCTTCCTTTTGATGTATTTAGCCTGTTTTTTTTTTCCTCCTTTCAAAATGGTAAAAAAAAAAAAAAAAAGAACAAAATTAATTCAAGTCTCTTAATCCCTCCTTCTGTCACATATATCCATTTGTTGCTGTCCTTTGGAAAATAGGACCTGGCAACTAGAATGCAAGAAATTAAGCAAAACATAAAAAACAAAAAAGAAAACAGAAAGGACATTCTTATCAAAGAACCACACTGTTTTTTTATTTTATTTAACTTGGTCAGATATTGCAATTCTACATAAAATTCAGATCATCAAACGTCAAGACCCCAGCGGGCATGCATCATGTTGATTATTACAGAACTTTGAGCCTCTTCGAACCGTCCTGTAGTGTAAAGCACTAGTTCAGCTTTCAGAGAGATTGCTAAAAACATCAGCAGACACATCTGGCATGAAATATCAATTAAGTGGCTCCCTTCAAGAAAATTAACGGTTTTGCTTGGCTAGTGAAGATGATAATAATTTTGAAAAAGGGATTCTAAAGAGAGTTGATGGCATTAAAGGGACAGAAATTTCCACGCTTCTAGAAAAGAAATGTCCGTAGTAAAACCAAAGCAGAAGAATAAACTAAATCCAGTCCAAACTTCGAGAAAAAAAAATCAAACTAAGCACAACTGCACTACAAACCAGAACAAGGAAAAGTTTCTGTTTTACAACTTCTAAAGATTATGCAAAGCACAACTTTACCAAAAACTGGAAATTGTAGAAGTTCTTTTTTTTTTTTCAACAAGGAAAAGTTTCTGTTTTGCAACTTCAAAAGACTATGCCAACAGCACAACTTCATCAAATGCATAAAGTTTACATTCTATTTCAGTTTCTGATAATTGATAATAAAAGTGGGCAAAGACCAATAGTTGTTATCAAACAAAATACACAGCTAATGCTGCAAATCACTAATTTTTTCTTTTTTACGTGATTGATTTGCTAAAACAGTAAGTAGCCGAAGGCATGATCCTTCTACCCATCCCTTAAAAAGACTTTTTTTTTACTTGTATTTTTCTTCTCAGAAATCAAAAAGTCGACTCAAAATATTAACAAAACAGGAAAAAAAGACGGATTATATCAAAGCAAGAGAGATAGAGTACCAATCAATTGTAAGGTGCTTTTGTTGATACTCTCCTCGAATGGCCATGAATGATTTCTAGAGTAAAACAAATTACTACTCACCATTTTGACTAATTTTGAATTCTAATTTCTATCTCCCTCTAAATCTCTCTTTTTCTTTATGGCGAATAAAAAATATAAATTTTTTATAACTATAAGAAAGGAAGGACACAAAAAAAAAACTTTTTTTAACCCCAAACAACTATAACATTCAAAGTCCAAGCAAAACATAAAAATTTTAGATCAAGCAAAACTGGTATTTCCTTATGAGATCCCACAGGTACTCTTATTCTAGAAATGAACTTAGGTCCAGAGAGAGCAACGGGTCACTTAAAATAGAATAGGATTTTTTTCAAACACAAATTAAAACAAACCCCAAAATCGCACTCCCATCCATCTCTCTTGTTGCAAATATATATATATATATATATAATAAAATAAAAAATAAAAAATTATTAAAAAAAATAAAATACATATAATATGCAAAATAGTTAACTAAAGGAAAAGGCTAACGTGAGAAATCCAAGCAGGGGTACAATAACTAAGTTGAGACAGAGATCAAAACAAAAAAAGGAAAGAAAAAACCAGAACTGGTAAAAGTTTTTTTTTTTTTTTTTCCCTGTTTTGCAACTTCTAAAGACCATACCAAGCACAACTTCAACAAAAATCAGAATTAGGAGAATATTAATTCTGATAAACCATGAAAGGGCTGCATTAATAGCTCCAAGAGGCAAATAAGATCACTTGAAGAGAGAATAATGCTACAAAAGATTTGTCAAAGGAAGCCAAAGAAAGCATAAAACATGACCAAGCACACGCATATTAATTGGAACAAAAAAACTTGATTAATTAAAAACCACAGAGCCAGCTTAAAACAAGAACAAGGAAAAGTTTCTGTACTTGGAACAAAAAAAAAGTATAGTTTTGCAGCAACTGAAGAATTAAATGCACCAAAACACAAAACTTACTTAATTATAGAGTGAGATCGGTGTTTGGTTCAACTCTAATTTTATAGGTTACTCCATTTTGTCCATCTTCTTCGTTGGTCAGAAAGATTCTGTCTCCGACTACAAGACCCTTCTCACGCACGAACAACAACCAGTCTCCTATAATGACAGGTTTTGGATGCCGACCACGAGCCCGAACAGAAAGCTCAAAATTCCAAACTCTGCCAGTAGCATCTCTCACTGCAAACCCTACAACATTTTGGCCTAAGGGTATTGGAATAGCATCAAGTTTTTGGGTAGGGTATGCCAATCGGTGTTTTATATCTGTGGGGGTTAACAGCTTATTACCTAGAAGCACCTCCATCTCTAGTTTGTACAAGATGGTCGAGCAGTGCATATTTATAGCTCGTATGCAAAAAGCATAGATGCTGGAAGTGGATGGTGGACACTACAAATCCCTTTCAAAACTGAAAAAATAATCTTTGATTTTTTTTTTTTTAAGGAATATGATTTTTTGAATTTGTTTATTTTTTTAGAAATCTACTGAGTAATCGATAGAAAACCCTTAAAATTATCTCTATTCTTCTCATTTCTTTAATAGTAAATATTAATTTTTATACTCGTACTATGTCGCTAGTCAAACAAAACGCATAAAATTATTTTTAAAAAATTATTTTAATTTAATATCTCGTGTTATACTGTGTATTTATTAAAATATATCAAATCAGAATTAAATACAAAAATTTTAAATTTTTTAAGTTTTTAATCAAAATTTTGTATTTTATTAATTATTCTTTATATTTTCATATTTTTTTATTA